AGATTCGGCGTGGCTGACGTGAAGCGCAGGCTGGACTGGGCTGGGTTCAGAGGCTGTAGCTGATGTGTGTGCGGCCCACACACACAAAACAGCCACGGACACCACAATGAGCGCTGTGTCTTCCAGAGCAGACTCAAATGCAGCATGAACAGTCTCTGGCAGGGCAGACAACACATGCTCAGACTCTGGCGGGCAGGCGACGGTCTCTGGCTGGACGGTCTCTGGCTGGAATTAGCTCAGGTATGTCGAGGTGAAGCTTGGCTGGGCTGGTCTCGACGGGACGAGACACAGGACACAGTGGGGAGACAGGAACCGAAGGGAGATCTGGGACTACGTCAACGGTGTAGGACGATCCACTCACCCACAGGATGTTGTCGATATATATTCCCTCAGGGAACATGTGGTGGCAGTAGCTGGAAATTGCCCAAAGAGTGGATCGTCCAGACCCATCCAAAAGGAGTGCTTGAGGGCTGCCTCTTTCCAAGACACCTGATGGGCGAGGTGGAGGAATTCCTCGATGTAAGTCTCGATCGGACGGTGATTCTGGGAGAAGCTGAGGAGTAGGTCGGTGGGATCTTGAAGGTAGAGGAAGATGCCAATACTGCTGCTGTAATGGTCGATTCTTCAGTTAAGGTCTGTCGTTCTGTCACGGGCTGGTTGAAGCAGGCAAGGAAGCAGGCTCGGAATGCAGCCGTTTTATTAAATAAACTAGAATAACCTTATACAGGATTCTGAGAAAACATCAACGGAACAACCAAGCATGAAACGACAACGACATACAAGGAACCGGCTGAAACACAGGACTTAAATACACAGTGAACAGATCATGGAAACAAGACACAGCTGGGGCAAAGTAACTAGACACAGGTGAAGGGACTGAACACAAACGAGGAGCGGGAAAATAGAAACAGGACGGAACCAAATACACAAAGAATGGGGGAAACACAGGACACACATGTAACACTTTAAGCAACTGTTATCATAGGCCTATGTTATGTTAATGTAGATAGGAAAAGAGTTAAATGCACAGTCAGAATTTGTAACTGTTCTCTAGTTCATTTTACTTAACAACAAACAAATAAAAAAAAAAATGTGTTAACAAAAAAAAAAAAAAAAATTGTGTTCCGAAGATGAACAAAAGTCTTAAGGGGTTGGAACAACATGTGGGTGAGTAATTACTGAAAGAATTTTCATTTTTGGGTGAACTCATAGACAGTAAAAGAAATGGACACAGCGACCCCGTTGATTTCAACGGAGAGAGTTGAAGCCCAACATGGGCACTCACTTCCTGATAGCCAAGCGTTCTGCGCAGGCTCAAACTGAGCTTGACGACGTAGTTGTCACGTGAGCAACCGTTCTGACCATCTAGTAGCTGTGCCGGGACAAATCTGAATTGAAATCTGAAACAAATCTGTTGTTGAAATATTTTGTCCCGTTGCTTTTATGAACTCTCTATCTATGAGCTTCTCCCTTGACTTTATGCCTCCATGTCCACCCGATTGCCTCATAGACAGTAAACGATTGCCTACGAGCTTCTACTTCTGTCTGTACGGTAATTTCTCTACTGTGCGACAGAGCGTCTCGTGGTTATGACGCAATCGTTAGCCTATTTTTACAAGAATGGCTTCTACGGGGCCATAACGTAAGATACAAAGTAATGGAGCCTTTTATACATTGTCGTGTTTCTTTAGAAATAAATAATGGACAAATGGAGTCTTTGGACGCCTCAGATGTAAAGTTATTCACTGTCAAATTGACGCCAAAATGAATGGGAGTCAATGGGATGCTAACAGCAGGTAATAGCCAGCTACAATGGCGGCCCCCAGAGGCAGCTTCAACTTCCGGCTGATGGATTACCCCCTTGGGTGAACTAACCCTTTAAACATCTGCGGTAACAGCATCATTCTAATATTGCATAACAACACTAAAACCCTGTAAATAACCATTTTTGTCCCACAAACCATGCCCCACCACACATTTTTGACTGACTGAAGTACTGTCCCACATAAGGCTAGCCATACTGTCCCACTTTTCGGACCCACACAAGTGGGACAGTAGGAAATTTGATCAAAATATATAGTCTTGACACAAAGTTATACTATTTTTTTTTTTTTTTTGATGGACAAACATTTCATAAGCACATTAGGCCAAAAAGTAGCAGGTTTGTTTTGTTTATGTATACTCTATAATAATTAATGTATACTCCTTATTATAAAGACATTTTTTGTGCCCTTAATATCAAGTTTTTCAAAACTCTATGTCACTGACCTTTAGGTGGTCTTCACACAAATTGCTTCCTTTTTGATGATTGCTCCATCCTCATTTAGGACTTGACATTTGAGAGGTTGTGTGATTTGTTCACATGACACCACAGCTTTGGCTAACCCATAGTTTCACTGGCATTCATGTATTTGTAGATCAACACTAGATCTTAGGTGTCCCACATTAGGCAGTGTCCCACTTTATGGCAATTCACCCTACTTTTTTTCTTGATCAGTGTAGAATATCTATACCTCACTAACATTTTGGAGAGAGTTTTACCGTGTGACTGTCGTAACTGAAGTGTAGTGTGTTACTGTCGCGTGGAGTGTAGTGTAAGTGCAACATTATTTTCAAACATGATAGATCATTTACCTTTTAGCACCACTAACCGGACATTTCATTCCCAAACTGCCGTGGTACATACAACAACCAACATAATAATAAAAAATGCAGGATTCACATTTTGAATCTGAACATGCTTTTAGCTCCACTCACTGGTTATTTCATTTAGTGTTGTGAAATGTGCAAGATGCATTGTGGCAATCAAAATCTGGAATATCCCTAAAATCAGTTCACAATGTACCTGTACTCTGTGCCAATTAAATTTAGGATTTCAGTTTATGTGTTAGTTCTGGCAATCATGTCAAAATCACACAGTTGTACTGCTGAGAAGAACAGTTGTAACGTGTTACCCAACTGGTTATTCTAACAAGAGGTGGTGATTACATTTTGGTGATATGGTGGATAGACTTTTTCAAGAATATTCCATCACCGAGTAGAAGACCCAATATATTCCAACCCCTGGAAACTACAGCTACTGTAGTAGTGGTGCTTGTTGGGGGGAAAAGGGGGAAAAAAAGAATTTGATCTTGGTCCACAAAATATCATAATTGATAACTGTTTGTATGAGTTGCCAAAAAGGCCTACATAAGCTCTCAGCTCTCATTGCAGTAGCATGAAATACTTTAAATGCAAGATCCCTAAATGAGTCGTGAATTTGCATGTTCAAGCAAATGACATTAAGCATAATTGAGGAAGCACTCTTTATAAAATGCATTACATTCCTATGAATAGGAAATAAAGAAGGAATGACTAATATTGACATGTAAACAAAATGACTTTAGCACTGGCCCTAGTGTAATCAGGATAGCACAAAGTGTCGATGGAGCCTGTATCTGCAGACTGAGATCTAGTAATTTGATATGGACATTTTGACAAGAAGAGTGGAAATACTGATTGGTTGTATGAAGGCGAAAGACAGTTTTCTTAATAACATTTGCATTCCAAATTGACAAGGTAACAGAACCCAGCTTTCTGCTCAGTTACCATGGAGAAATGATATCTCAGTGTCTCTCCGTGACAGTATGTTACGTCAGTCACAGTGATGGCTGTTGCACGCTATTGTCTTGAGGCTGATTTCACACATGTAATTTTGTAAGCTTAAATGATTGCCAATGAAGAATACCAACAAATCAGACTGTATATTATCTTAAAGAAACACTTGGAAATTGACTCAACAAGTATCTTGTTTTCAATTTAGCCTTTTTGATCTCAGAATATAAAACATTTCCTTTTAGTTCACTTGGCATGGGTATGGGTTAAACTTGTGTGATGTAGTCCACTGAGTGTTTTGATGCAAAGAGGATGTGAAACTACCAGGCAAATATCCTTAAATGGTCAACCTTTAATTGACTAAAGTAATACTCTAATTGAAACCAGATGATGTCATTTTATGTTTACTTTTCATTATCATGTGTTTTATATTGCTAGGGATGACATAGCTTTTAATAAAACATCACATAAACTGTATTATTGTTTGAATCAGATTACGAGATTTCTTTGCCCATTTTGTGACAGGAAATATACATAACTCCTCATTTATTTACTTTACTCACACAGTATTTGTTTTATCCTCCATGTGGCAGTTGTTAATAATAATAATAATAATTGTTTAATATTTGTATATATTAAAAATTTGTTATACTTTTAAATATTTAGATAAAACCTATTTTAAATACAAACACTGTAAAATAAATCCTCTTCAGTGCTTTGGACAGGTGCATAGCAGATCTGTTTTTTATATAGTGAGAGTGGTCTGGAGGGTGGAAAGTCACACAAACACAGCCACTGCTGGCTGAGATGAAGTGTTATTGCCTTGCTTTAGGGCAGAGCAGCAGTGGTCAAAGTGAGGTCCCCAGGAGGGATTTAAACTTTCTTTTCTCTGTGGTTCCAGAGCTCACACCAGCAAGCCTTTCTCCTCTCTCCACCTGCTCTATTAGGATGTCAAAACTATGTTACTGGATATATTACCAGGGGCCAGCACACATGTTTTTACACAAAGCTGTCTTTCAGCCCACACAGTAGATATTTATTTATTATTCATACAACAGGGGGCCAGGTGACGCATTTTATTTAAAAAGCCTGCAGCAGTGTTGTTCAGAAACAGGATGGATGTCTACTGTGCCTGTTCCAAGTCCTGACACGGGAAGAAAATGTTTAGTAATGTGCCCAGTACTGTAAGGGTTAGTGGTATTGTGCACAAATCTGTATTATGTTTTATCAACTAATGTTTTATTCATGGTTTTGTCAGCTAATGTAAGTACTGTACTAACGTACAGACGCTTCACAATATGTGCATAATTGTGTCAGACTCAGCACAGCACTAATAATGATGATGAAATAACGCTAATAATGATAGAAATGAACAGAGAATAACTGTTTGTGTATGTTTCCTCTAGTTTGTGGAGACATTCATGGGCAGTTCTTTGACTTGATGAAGCTCTTTGAAGTAGGAGGGTCTCCAGCCAGCACACGATACCTTTTTCTGGGTGATTATGTGGACAGAGGATATTTCAGTATTGAAGTAAGTCACAGCTATTATCTGAACACTAAATAATGCACTTCATACATTCTATTAATTTTTAATAATTAAAAAACATTGACCCAAATCTGTCTAATTGTTTTCAGATTTAATCCGCTTCAGTTGTATATGTACTTTTAAATCTAATCATTTTGTTTTACTCTTGTTTTTGTTTTTTTGTGTCCATAGTGTGTGCTGTACCTATGGGCCTTAAAAATCCTTTACCCCAAAACACTTTTTTTGCTGCGTGGGAACCACGAATGTAGACATTTAACTGAGTATTTCACTTTTAAACAGGAATGTAAGTATGACTGCCACATCATCGATAACCATAGTACATAACACTTTGACTGTTGCATTTTGCAATATAAAACTTAAGTAAACTGTCATCCATAAGAAAAATAAATGGGAGCTGGGTCTGGTCACAGATTATATACTACCATCTATTTTCTGGGATTTCTAGTTAGAAGTAAAGCCACTTCCCAGCTCAGTATTTGAATTCAGACATTTTATTGGCTCATCTTAATGTTTACACATGTAAAAACAATTGTTTTTGGACTGGACCAAAAAGCCTTTACCTAATTTTAAAGCTCTGTTTTTTTGTTTTTTGTTTTTTTAAGTGTTTGGATGGCTTTTTTAAGACTTTCCATCTAAGAGTGAGAGTGTGTGTTAATGTGTGGTCATTTTCTTTTCCTTCCATCTCAACTGGTCGTTCCTCCTTCATCTCTTGACAGGTAGAATTAAGTATTCGGAGCGGGTGTATGATGCGTGTATGGATGCTTTTGACTGTCTTCCCCTGGCAGCGCTCATGAACCAGCAATTCCTGTGTGTGCACGGAGGACTGTCACCTGAAATCACAAACCTTGATGACATCAGGAAAGTATGTATATAACAAACTAGTGTCATTTCTCTGTTTAACGAACCAGCCTTTGATTTATTATTCTATTATCACCAGTGCTTTGGAGTGCTACATGTTATTGTATGTGCAAGTAAAGTGATCATCAAGAAAAAAACATTCCTACTTATTAGTCTCTACATTAGACTCTAACATTATTAACTCTCATTTTAGACCTTAAAGGGTTAGTTCACCCCAAAATGAAAATTCTGTCAGTAATTACTCACCCTCATGTTGTTCCAACCCCGTAAGACTTTCGTTCATCTTCGGAACACAAATTAAGATATTTTTTATTAAATCTGAAAGCTGGATCACTCCTCCAAAGGCTTCTTAAGAGATCGAAACTTGCCGGCCCAAAAGTCATTAAAGACATCGTTAAAATAGTCCAAGTGACTACAGTGGCTCAATCTTAAAGGGTTAGTTCACCCAAAAATGAAAATTAAGTCATTAATTACTCACCCCCATGCTGTACCAACCCCGTAAGACCTTCGTTCATCTTCGGAACACAAATGAAGATATTTTTTATTAAATCTGAGAGGTGGATCACTGCTACATAGGCTGCCTAAGGGAATGAAACTTGACGGCCCAGAAAGTCATTAAAGAAAATGTTTAAATATTCCATGTGCCTACAGTGGCTCAACTATAAGTTTATCAAGCGACGAGAATACTTTTTGTGCGAAAAAAACAACATAAATAAGGACTTTATTTGACTATTCCATTACTTCCTTGTGGGCCTGAGACGAGAGTTCAAGAGATTTCCACGACGCATGCGCGAGAACTGAACAAGAAGTAGTAGAAGAAGAACGTCCTCTTCTCAGTTCTCGCGCATGCGTTCTGGAAATCTCTTCAACTCTCGTCTCAAGGCCCACAAGGAAGTAATGGAATAGTCGAATAAAGTTGTTATTTATGGGGGGTTTTTCGCACAAAAAGTAGTCTCGTCGCTTGATAAACTTATAGTTGAGCCACTGTAAAAACACAGAACCAACAGAGAAGGAAATGAATAGTTGAATAAAGTCGTTATTTTTGTTTGTTTTTTTGCGCACAAAAAGTATTCTCGTCGCTTGATAAACTTAAGATTGAGCCACTGTAGTCACTCGGACTATTTTAACGATGTCTTTAACTTTTCTGGGCCGGCAAGTTTCGATCCCTTAAGAAGCCTATGGAGGAGTGATCCAGCTCTCAGATTTCATCAAAAATATCTTAATTTGTGTTCCGAAGATGAACGAAAGTCTTACGGGGTTGGAACAACATGAGGGAGAGTAATTACTGACAGAATTTTCATTTTGGGGTGAACTAACCCTTTAACACATGATCAGTCTCTAGCTAAAAGATACAGTATTAATCATGTTCATTTCCACAAAGAGGCCATTTAAAAAAAAAAAACATTATATTCAGGGTCCTGCAGTTCAGAGCACAAATGATGAATCTGATATTTGTTATTTTCATCACTGACTGTAATGTAATTCTGATTTCAATAATCTGTTTCCTATGGAGAATAAACTTTCAAAATGACCAGGTTACTGCTCCCTACCTCTCTAAAGTATTTTTCCTTAGTAAATGTCCTTCTCTCTATTAAATGTCCTCGTTTAAAAAGCCATTATATTGTGTTTCTTTCTCTTAAATATGAATTTTATCAGTAGGAGCAACATTTGTACCTTTCCCTCCCCATTCCCTTGCTAAGTGAAAAAATAAATACTATTAGAAAAGTAACTACAAAAATATAAGGTGATTTAGTAAAAGCCCAGCTGCTATCATGACTGAGATCCAAGGCTCTGATGATTAGGGGGAAGTCCTTAACCAATTCAGTTCTTATCATCTACACTGAGCTCTTAATTCAGTTTAGTTTTAATCTGAGGATTATTTAGAACAATTTGTTCCACTGCTTATGTAGTTTATGCAGTGGCATCTTTTATTAGATGCCCAAGCTGTTATCAAAAAGGACGTATTAGCTTTGTAGAAAAAGATTAACTTTGCATTGGCAGTGACTGGCAGTATGTTAGCCTTAGTCCAACAGCAATACCTCTATAGTATATATTTAAAGCATAAGGGTCGGATTTACTAAGAGCTTGCGCCAGCGCAAACCTTCTTTTGGCAATAAAAAACTACTGTCAGGATTTACTAAAGACACACAGTGAAAAATTATATATCATTATTATATGAGTTTCCCTTTGAGACGCAAAATTTATGGGAGGAGAGTATTTAAATCAATCATGACGCAAGGTGATTTACTAAGGTTTGCGCTTGACAATTTACTGGTATTTGTGCCATTATTTACCACCCATTAAACCACACGCTAATTTCAGTAGATCATGCGCAGAACTTTCCACTCCCATCGGCGCTGTTTTGGAATTGCACTGTCACGCTAATTTGCCCTGTTTATCTGGCCCTAAATCAGATAAAACTTTGGTAAAATGGGTTTGGACTCTTTAATCTTGCAAAATGCTATGTTTTTCTTATGTGGCCATATAGTAATTAAAAAAGGGTCCACAATATACAGATTTTATCTATTCTATTCTGATTGTTTTTTTTTCTGTTAATAATGATGCTTTATCTAACTCGGGAGTACTCTGTAGTATATAGTGTATTTACCTTTTCCAGTTAGACAGATTCAAAGAGCCTCCCGCATATGGACCAATGTGTGACTTGCTTTGGTCGGACCCGCTAGAGGACTTTGGGAACGAGAAGACCCAGGAACATTTCACACACAACACAGTGAGAGGCTGCTCCTATTTCTACAGGTACCAAAAGCACTTCAAAGAGGAAACCAGAAAGCACTTTACAAAAAAAAACATCTTTTAACATTAAATATTATGCATTCCTAGACATGAGATTCATTGTAATAATTCTTATAGTGTGCTATGTGAGCAAATTGCACAATGAGATAAATTAGTGAATTGACATGCCAGTTAGATTAAAAAGATTGGGTATATTTAGATATTTCCTGCCTCCTCTACGTCTTTCTGAAAACCTCCATATCACACGCATATAAGAAGTAAGAACCATTATCCAGTGGTGATGTATTGTTTGAATCTCTAGTGACTGTTAAATAAAGATGATTTATGCTGTGTGTTGCATTTGTCTCAATAAGGAGGATGTCATGCGCCTGCATGCTATAGAATGGTAGCAGAATGAAATTGGTTGTGTGAATTCAGTTATCAGGCAGCTTCTCCAACGGAAGGACTGATGGAAATATCACTGTCTCTGTTGATAGAAAAATAGTTATTGTATCAGATGATATGAGGTCAGATTTCAATAGGCTACATAGTTTCAATCAGCCCAGTCTCATCCTAAGACGTCATATGACTGACGCTTTTGACCATACGTCAACATCCGACGTTTTAGGGTACCCTTTAACGTCAGTTAGATGACGCTATCTAATCCTAACCCTACCCCAGACCTAAACCTACCCGCGTCATCTAACTGACGCTAAAGGTAAAGCGTCAGTTAGATGACGCCCTAGGATCGTCACTTAACTGACGTTAAAGGGTACCCTAAAACGTCGGATGTTGACGTATGGTCAAAAGCGTCAGTCAAATGACGTCTTGGGATGAGACTGTGTTATTTCAATAGGTGTAAATAGGACTTGAAAGCTTGATATGACCTTTAGTTGGCGATCGCAAGCGGTAAATGCAAGAGAAGAATAGCAGGTTTAATTCTTACATCTGATGTACACACATCAGCTCTGATTTGGACCCTGACAACAAATGTTGGAAAAAATGTGTCTTATGTGTGTTTTTTTAGATGGTCTGGTTGCAGTTCTGTTGGCAGTTTATTCATTAATATACAGTGCTTGCATAATTATTAGCCAAGTTGATATTCTGATCATATTATGTTCTGATCATATTTTTTCCAAGCACATTTTAGCAATTAAAAGCCACATCAATCTTAATAATTACTATTAATATTGTATACGATCATTAATAGGCTATATGTAAATGTTGATGAGCGCTTAACATAAAAAACACCTCATAAAAAACACAATATATTTAACTCGCACTGAAAAGTCAACTTATGAAACGACCATGCAATACTTAAATAAATTGTAAAATTAAGGCATGATCATTGGACAGCGAAATGCTCATTGCGTAAGCGTTTTTCACTTTCAGCCCTCGTTAACAATTATATATCACTTATAAATGATTATATACAAAATGAATGGTAGTTATTAAGATTGATGTGGTTTGGAATTAGTAAAATGTACTTTAAATATTTGATCAGAATATTGCTTAATAATTATGCACGCACTGTAACCTCAGAATAACATTTTAGTTGGGTCGCAAGGGTAATTCAGTCAAATATATCATTGACCAAGACAAGGGACAATGGGTTTGAAAGGTCCTGTTAACTGCTCAGATGTTATTACAGTGCCCTCTTTGAGAAATTACATTAGATCAGATTAGGGGTGGGCGATATGACCAAAACCTAATATCACGATATGAGCAATTTTATTTCACGGCAACAATATATCTCACGATATAAGGGGAGCGTTTTAACACAGGGTCAGTTGTAACACTGGTAGTTTGACAAGTCAGAAAAGGGGTGGCTAACACTTTATGGTAACACTTTATTTTACAGTGTCTTTGTTACAGATGTTACATATAGTTACTGTAGTAATAACTATAAATTATGCATAATTACATTCAACTAACCCTAAACCAACCCATTTTCCTAACCCTATAGTAAGTACATGTAGTTAATTAATATTAAATGTATAATTAAACTGTAACAAGTAGAGATGCACCGATTACAATTTTCTAGGCCGATTCCGATTTCCGATTTTTCAGAGTTTGACCTGCCGATACCGATTTTAGCCGATTCCGATTTCATTTTTTCTAACCACTTTACAGCACACACAAATATTTATTTTCTCTCTTTTCTTTAGTAGAACATTTTGCATAGAACATTTTTGAACAGTAATCACTATAAAATAGGACTATATAAATTACTCCTAGTGTGGGAAATTCACACACATCTAAAGTGCAGTGTTATGGAAGAACCATTTTCTTCTTTTCACATCCAATATCCAACTAGAAAAATTTGTTCATTTCAAAAAGAAAATTCATTTTCTTTTCTGACATATACTCCAGTTCTTGTTAAAACACACCAGACATGCCAATTCTGTGCATTTTGGGCACTTTTGTGTGAAATCATATTCCATCAAAAGTGTGCTTTCACTTTAATTGAGCGTGAGCAGCGCAGCAAAAATAGACTCTGCGCCGAAACCCGCGCTTCACCGCTGCTCCTGCTCGACGGCAGGAAAATCGGTATATGTTAGACTGACCGGCCGGTCGTCAATCATGGCCGATCACGTGAAAATCGGCCAATTCCGGTCACCAGCCGATCAATCGGTGCATCTCTAGTAACAAGGACACCTTAAAATAAAGTGTAACCCTATTTTAAGATGACGTAGTTACACATTACTACATGTACTTACTATAGTAATAACAGTAAATTATGGATAATTACAAGTAACTAACCCTAAACACAACTCTATAGTAAGTACATGTAGTTAATTAATATTATTCAGTACTTATTTGAGTAAGTACAATGTAACTCTCTCTCTATTCCTTATACAACCTTTCTAGTCATAGGGCTGGAGTCTATCCCAGTTTCTTAGGCCAGAGACAGGGGAAAGTACCCTGGACAGATGGCCAGTCCATCATAGGGCTCTCACACACACAATCACACACAGGCAATTTTGACTGTCCAATTCACCTGCATGTCTCTGGAGTACCCGGAGGAAACCCACGCTGACACGGGGAGAACATGCAAACTCCACACAGAAAGGACTTCTGGCTCAGCCGGGGCTCGAACTGGGGACCTTCTTGCAACACTAACCACTGAGCCACAGTGCTGCCCACAATGTAACTTTGTCACCTTAAAATAAAGTGTAACCAAGAGTAGCATGCATTCACCGTCACCTTTTTGAACTTACAGGATAAGTGGCATGTGACTGTGAGGAACATTGTAGATTGTAAGACCGAAAAACGGATTTTCTGGAAAGAAAGTTAAAAAAAAATTATCAAGATTATTTTTTGCCTAGCAATCATTGTATTTTAGATACAATTATTTGACTTGCAAAACCAGAAGTGGCCGTTTCTCTAGTTTAATTTGATGCTTTAAATTCTTGCTAACATGAAATCCACATGTTAAAACAGTTAGCTAAGTTATGGCTGCTTGGGGTTGGGATAGTTGTAACAGTTAATAAAAAATGTGGTATCCAACCAAGTACAGAGAGTCCAGTTATCCAAGAACATCCCCTGTTGAGGCAAAGATATGCACGTTTTTTTTGTTGTTGTTTGCTTTAAATATGAATATCACAAAAAAAAAATACTAGCATTTTTTTATGTGTGCACGTTTCAGGTGTGTGCGCTCATAAACCATCTCTCAGACAGAGCATGCACATACTAATGAGTTCTCTTTTGCTGCTTAATGTGCTTTAGTAAAATCACCTGTTTTTAAACTGCATAGCTTAAAACCATATTCAAAGTTTTTGTGACAGCGCAGCATGGCAATGTCACGTGAGCATACAATACTTTGTCCAGATGAGATGCAAGAGTGATCATATGACAAAATGTTTATTTCAGATCACTCACAAAGGCTTAAAGATTCCCTGTGGTGAAAATCAAGTTTTTAATGTGGTTTATATGTCTGTGTGGTGTTTTTAATATGCTAAGACAAACCATGTGCAAATTCATGTCAACTCCATTGCTGAGTATTTTCTCCTTAATACTGCAGTGAACCAAAGACAGTCTCAAAAATGTGGTTTGAAACCGCCCTTGTTCTTGACATCACAAATATGTTGTAACCAATCCCATCAACATGCGGGTGGGCTTTAGCATATCATGCTAACCTAAGCTGCGAAGCAGGGGAGTCTCAAGTGAAGCCAGGTTATCCCGGTATTTTTCTGTTGATATGAAAAATCTTGTACATTTAGCAATAAAGCAGGGGAATTATGTATATTATGCATATTAAAATGTTATAATGAACTATATGCCTTTCTCCACTGCATTCTAAGATGGCATTTAGAATTTTTAGAAGGCAGACTGAGATGGCGAACGGGAACATTGTTTGTGTAACAGTAGCAACACATTATTAGCTGTTTGATAATGTAGTCAAGCAAAAATGTTTCCGACATTATAGAGAGCGATACATAAAATGCATTACCATTCTGATACTTTGACTTGCAGACGACCCTGTATAAATAACTCTTCCACGTCTTCTGAATCAGTTTCTGGTTCAAACATATATGGCTGAATTAACCCATAGTTTCCGCTTGCCATTGTGTAGCATTTACTAAAGTAAAGTTGACTGAGTGGATCAGGTATCCCAAGCTCATGTGATTGAGTGGAGGCAGAGCTAATTTGCATATTCATGGATCTGTGTACTAAATGAAGCAAGGGTGTAGTTACATTCAAGCTATTTTAAGTCATGAAGAATTTTTTTTTTAATATGTAATTTTGGTGATCAAAGATGAGTATTAAGGGATTTCCTTACTGCTACAGTAGTATGATGACGGTGTTCTTGTATCTTAAACATTTTTAAATGAAATTGCACCCCAGAACTAAAACTAGAAGCCAAGTCCATTTACATTTATGCTGTATTTTACAACTCGTTTTCCTTATTCCTCATTCTTGTAGTTATCCTGCTGTGTGTGACTTTCTACAACACAACAACTTATTATCTGTCATCCGAGCCCATGAAGCACAGGATGCTGGGTAAGTCTGGCACAAAAGCATACATCTTAGGTTGTTTTTAGTAGCATCTGGTTAGATTTGAGAGACTGGAGAGATGCAAACATTGCATTTTGAAATGTTCTTTTATAAGATGTGGTTAATTATGGTCCCCTGAATGAGTTTATGCTCTGCTGTGACAATTGAATGAACATATTGACTATAAAAGGAAGATGAACTTGTTGGTGTTGTGATTCTCACAACACAACACTGCATTCAAGCTGAGATTGATGCATATTGCCCACACATTTTTAAGTTGCCATCCAGCGATAACAAAGCATGTTTGTGATTTTACCTGATGGAAATCTTATGAATAGACCGTATTATGGGACTAGCCTAGCTTTTCCAGCTGAGAATGGGCCTGTTTGCTTTGGTCTTGCTGTCCAATTTTGTTGAGTCAGAGTGTTAGAGCTTTCAGCATGTTCATTGATTATGCTGGAGTCGTTGTTTGACTAGACTGTACTCTGCCAGTCTCTTGGTCCCTGATTATAGCAGCAGGGTGGTGAAAATTAGAGCAACACCAATAGAAGTTACATGCTGATTAGTAGACACTAGATTCAGAGCTACTTACAATGCGTTAATTGCAGTGAGAGTCCCTCTAGTGCAGCTCTGGCCCAAGATCTCTTGCTTTAACAGTACAGTGGAAGCAGAAGGACTGAGATCAGAGATCCAGACTCAGCGCTCGTGGAACGGAAGTCGCATTAGCAATCCTGCACAGATAATTTATAATTATTATGCTACAAGCAAACTGAGACTAGAGCTCATACGAATGAAAAGAGACATCAAAGCAATGCCGGACTAGACAAATGAAGTCTAGATTTTGACTGTGACATTTTTGATGGAGAAAATGCTTATTGCTGGGTGATTATAGTCTCATGACTAATTGATAGCCAGAAGTTAGGCCCACTTCACAGCCTTTTCTGGCTAAAACAAACAGACACTCTGACAGGAAGAGATTGATATATATTTATATATATATATATATATATATATATATATATATATATATATATATATATATATATATTAGGGGTGTAACAATACATTGATATGGATCATTACATCGATCAAACGTCTAACAATACGATCCATCGATGCCACATGTAAAATATCGATATGAGGTACCTTTATTTTGACATTCTCCACATCCTCACATAACGTCTGTCTAAACATTTCCGCCATTCCGGCATTTCCGTTTGCTCACCATACTTTCTGCCGGTGTGTCTTTTGTAACGTTAATCTCCTCAGCTGAAATAAACGGCTGACAAGATTGACTGAACCCTAAACACGTTTTGTCATAAAAGCCGGTATTGTCCACTGTCAAGGCATCGCGAGTTCATGTTTTACAGCAGAAACTGACAAGCACCCTTGTTGTTTGTGTACACAACACGATAAGTCCGTTTTAGCAAATCAGCGTGCAGTATTCAGGTCAGGTGTCAAGACTGCTAGTTAGGAACCTTTCTAAAGCAACACGTTACAGTGGTGAGGGAAAAGCTCCCTGTATTGTGTCTAATCACAACAATAAAGTGTGTCAGGCATGTATGTCAGCGGAGGAGATTAACGTTACAAAGATTAACCGAGTGTTTTATTATATATCATAGCAAACTTGGTTTTGGTTTAACTCTGAAACACAAAATGTGGAGTTATCTGCTTTTGCTAAAAAGCTAACTTTTAATATATTTAAAAAACATACTTTGAATGACCTTTAATTTTGTAAGTAACCTGAATTTTTTTTTTTTGAGTTATTATTACTTAATCAAAACAAGCCTGCTGCAGTTTGATTAATAGCCATCTTTTTTTTGCAAATTAACTCTTCTGTTTTAAATGTCCCAAATGTGCCATTTTCAAAGAGTTTAATTAAACGTTCATGTTATATATTTTGGTTATGCATTTGTGAGTTAATAAAAATGCAACTGGTTGTGTAAACTTGGCACATAATATCTAAATGTCCATAAATAAATAAATAAATCGAAACAGCCTTGAATTGTAATCGTATCGCAGAATTTTTTAGGTTTCAGCAATTGTCGTATCGCTGGCCGGGAGAATCGATATCATATCGTATCGTGATGAATTGTCCGACCCTGTAGAAATCATTCTAATATGCTAATACATACTTTGATATATTTTTAAGGATTCTTTGATGAATATAAAAACAATTCAAAAGTTGAGCATTTATTATAAATAAAATATATTTTGTAAATATTATAAATTATAAAAGTCACTTTTTAAAAATTATCAATTTAAAAATTACTGACCCCAAACTTGGTATACTTGGTATTACTTGGTATTGTGAGACAATGAATAGGCACCTAAAAAGCAATGCTAAAATTTAAAAGTTAAAAGTAAGTACACAGCTGTCTAAACAAAAAGTTCACTGAAGAAAATGTGTTTGAATTTGTGATCAGAATATGTCTGAATGATAAAATGATAAAGTCCCAATTATAATTAAAAAAAAAAAACAATTATTTAGCTGCTCTCACACATATCCTGTTTACTTGCTGTTAGGTGCCTTTTTTTAGGCACTTATTGAAGCAGCTGATAAACGTAAATATAAAAATAATAATAAATATAGCCACAAGCTGCAATCATCAAGTACCAAGCACCAATGACCCATGCAGATGTTTAGCAATAAAATCTAAATGATGTGTTTGATGAAACGGTTAACAGCAACGCAGGCGTCAAAAGCTGCGACTGACTTCACGACTTCAAGAAATCACTCTTATTGTTAGATTAAAAGAGAAGAAAAAAAGCTGAGTAAAATGTTTATTTTCCTAAGGTATATGATCATAATATATGTGATGTGTGGACTCATATTTAACATTTGGATAAGGGCTATCTTAAGGGCTTTTTTATTGTTTTATAATTTATTTTTATAATATGTGTATTGTTTATATACCTATAGTGTATAAGTGTATAACCTTTTTATTTGTGTGAACTGCTGTGCTTAAACTCTAATGTGAAAAGTTTTGTAGAACTGAAACTAAAACCAAGCAAACCATTTAATAATTAAATATATTTCTGGAATGTAGAAATACACAGAACATACTGTCAAATTACTTATGTCAGAAAAAGTCAATTGAATAATTATTTGACTGCAGGTGCTTCTGAGCTGGTGTATTATAGTTTGTAGGAGAAATGTGATGTCTGCATGATAACTTATGCTTGCATTTTAATACACAAGTGTTTGTTTTATTATGCGTACCACAACAGTAAATAAGTGTGTCTTTATAACAAGTTTATAATATATATTGTCTTCAAAAAGACAAATAAAATTTTCTCTTCTTTTTAAAAAGACAGCAGAATATTTAATCATGTCTGGCAATTTGACAAATATGTTTTATTTGGGTAAATAAAAGTTAAAACTGCTGTACACAACATTTGCCTGTTTCTCTGTTTGAAACATGAAATTGCAAGTTACTTGCTGAGGTGTTTTTTTTTTTTAACGTGGGGTGTGTTTCGGACTGCTTCTCTGCGCGAATGAATCTGATCACCACATCAGTGCAGATCTGTCATATCGACATGACAATAAGTTCTTTGTTTTCTTCTGACCAAATGAAAGCATATATCTTTTAAAATAAATCATTTTACTGATTGTTTAGATCTAGCGTTTGCTCAGTTAGATCAGTTCACACATTGCAAATTAGCTGCATATTGAGACACTGAAATGTCTTACCTGTTCATGGGGAGAAAATTGTGTTACTCTTCTTCAATCCCTTCAGATCTCGGAGTTGTTACTACCTCTTAAAAGCCATGGCGATATTTATTCTCATTTTAGCACGGGCTCTGTCGCTTTTCTCTTTCTGACTGCAGGCTCTTTGCCGAGCCATCTAGATGACAAGTTTAACCCTTTGGGGTTGACAAACACGCCTGCGTGATTACTTAGTTTCTTTCCTGACGTAACAACGTAACATAACATAAAAAAAACGTAATTTTTGGTCATTAAGTTAAGAGTAAGACATCATTCAAAACTGTACTTTTATTTGTGCACACTCACAATAATATTATGTTGTGCTTTTGTAAAATAAAAAATAAAAAACAGAGTGCGCTTTCTGGCGTTTGCCGTTCTGCGCATTCTGGTGTCCATAAACTTCGTTCTGGAGTGTGTCATAAAAATGAACTGAAACCCAGGGTATTACAGACATGAGAAATATGTCTATAGAAAGCTTTGAATGTATACTTTTAAATGAACCAATTTAAAACAAAAACAAATATTATCTAACTAATTATGTAATCTGTATGAAACCACCTAGGTAGGTACCATCTTTTTTCAAGCAACTGTATCCTCAGCACGCCATATAGTAGTCTTCTTTCTGTTTACGGACGTGACTTAACCACTCAAAGACAGATGACCTTAAAATGACATTTCCTGCAAAATCATCAAAAAATTATGAATCATTTTTATAAGCTTACCATTGCCAAACTGGTAAGGTAAGAAAAAAGTATGTTTCTAGCCCTTATGGTTCAAAGTTATGACCCAAAATGCAAATCACCATGTTATAGTGCCACCAAGTGTCAGACAGGTGTGTGTCTATGCGCCTGAGTAGTGGTGCACGATTGGGACCATCCTGCCAAGTTAGGGGTCTATACAGTTTACGGTGTCTGTTGCCCTAGTTACACCTTAGGTGCGTGGACCTAATGAAGAAATGTAATCATTGTCTTGATGTTTATTCTGAGGAAAGTGATGGTGATGATGATGTTTTCTTTTTTTTTACCCACAGTTATCGCATGTACAGAAAGAGTCAAACTACGGGCTTCCCCTCTCTCATCACTATCTTCTCAGCTCCAAACTACTTAGATGTCTACAATAACAAAGGTATTATGCACACATATCTCTGAATGGTGCGTGTGTGAGTAGACAGCCGGTCAGATGTCCAGATGTGGCCTGCCGTGTCTCTGCTGAGCTACAAGATGGACAGACCCAAGTTAGTTAGTGTGATGTTTGTGACCAGAATGGAAAAGGACATAGGCAGCAAAGTGTTACAAAACAACATTTTAGGGGGTTATTTTCAAGACAGGAACTCACAAAATATGTTGCAGTTGCAACCCTACCAAAAAATAAACCAAAACATAAAGGAAAAAAAGAAACTTCAAACAAAATGATATAATAAAGAGTTGTCACTGCTTCTGCCCCTTATACAGTCTAAAATCAAAATGTATACACATAAATAAACATCTTAAATATTACTTTTAACTAGGGCTGTCAATAGATTAAACATTTTAATCACGGTTAATCGCACACTTACGCCCGTTTCACACATACTCCGTGTGCAGTGCGTATGCGGTGTGTGTTGCGGTGCGTATGCAGTACAGGAGCAGCACGCGCTATAGTGCTTTCACATATGCTGCGTTTGCAGTGCGGAACTGATCCTGAAGTGTATAGATTGCTTGAGTTAGGCATAGGCCTACTCACTATTTTTATTTAAAATCCAGAAGTTCTCTTACGAGAGGTTCTCTCGTATTGCGTAAGTTTAGCTTACGCTACGGGAAAGATTCATCTTCTCGAGATATTGAAGCCAAAAAATTATCCTAATTTTGTATTCATTGTCAACGCAGTGCAGCAGCTAGCAGACCTAGAGCAGGCAGTCTAGCGTGCTCATTGGCTGCCCTGCAGGCAACTGCTGCAGCCTACCAGTGAGCCCGGCGTGACGTCACGCCCAATGAAGGGCGCTCGCGCCTTCATAGCGTCACAGCCCGCCAGAATGGGCGTGGCTTAGCGTATAAAAGAAGGGGCTCGTAGGCTGAATTCCCTGATTTTTCGACTCTTCAGCGAGCTCTTCGCATCGCTGGATTGAGGGAAGCCACCGTCGCCGTCGAGACAGCGAACAGCCAGCCAGGACAGCGCTGAGGAAGCCGGCCGTCTTCGCCACCTTCAGCCATCCGTGCGAGCTACGCTATCCGGCGACGTATCCTTTTTACATTGTTGTTGTATTCTCTTTTCTCTTACTCCTAAAAGAGCAGCGAGCGTCTTTTTCAAGATGCCTCGCACTTCCTGTGGACAGCCGGAACCTGTGGCCACAGCGACGCGCTCGCCGGAGAACCTCCCTCGAGCCTCGCTCTCGCCTTCCCCGCCTCTCTTCACCGACGCGCAGCTGCCGCTCACGAGCCTCACTGCCGTCGCGTCTGAGGATGAGGTTGAGGGACACGCCACAAGGGACTGCTGTTCTAACCGCGGCTAGCTTCCTTTACGTTACAAGGAAGCTACCGCGACTCCGCAGAAGCAGTCACTCCGCCCTTTGTGGGACCGCGCAGTGATAAGCGCCGTTCCCAAAGGCAGCCGGAGCCTGTAGCCACAGCGACGCGCTCGCCGGAAAGCCTCCCTCGAGCCTCGCTTTTTCACCTTCCCCGCCTCCCTTCACCGACGCGCAGCTGCCGCTCACGAGCCTCACTGCCGTCGCGTCCGAGGACTGCTGGACTGCTGTTCTAACCGCGGCTAGCTTCCTTTACAAGGAAGCTGCCGCGCGCGCTCTTTGTTATCTGCTCGCGCTACTTAAGCTTATGTTGTTTCCCCCGTGGCTCAGTGGCTAAACTCTAAGCTTTCGCGCCAGAGACCCGTGTTCGATCCCGGCTCTCGCAGCAGATACAATTTATGCAGCTCTCCTCTCTGAGCTCGCGACCAGCTTTCTTACATACAGAAAGCGAGCGCGCGCCCCGAGCGACACGCACACGAAAACTGTGATGACGCTCTCTCTCTTATCTGCTCGCGCCAACTAAAGCTTACGTTGTTTCCCCCGTGGCTCAGTGGCTAAACTCTAAGCTTTCGCGCCAGAGACCCGTGTTCGATCCCGGCTCTCGCAGCAGATAAAATTTATGCAGCTCGCGCGACCAGCTTTCTTACGTACAGAAAGCGAGCGCGCGCCCCGAGCGCATGCGTCACCGGCGAAAGAAGGAAAGAGTGGTTTTTTGTCCCGCCGAGGCTTGACAAACCCCCTCTTTTTCTCAAACATTTTCCAGCTCCTCCTAGTTCGAGCGGCTGGTAATGTCTATACTGCAGTAGAGAGCCTGTTATAACACGCACGCCTGCAGACAATGCCGACACGCACACGAAAACTGTGATGACGCTCTCTCTCTTATCTGCTCGCGCCAACTAAAGCTTACGTTGTTTCCCCATGTGGCTCAGTGGCTAAACCTTAAGCTTTCGCGCCAGAGACCCGTGTTCGATCCTGGCTCCCGCAGCAGATAAAATTTATGCGGCTCTCCTCAGCAAGCCGCCGTTTTCGGATCCGGCTCACGCCGATGGTGTTTTTTAGTGTAGAAAGGTGCCCACATCTCGGTGTTCACCCCTACACACAAGCACAACACTTCCCGTGTTATTCACAGAACAGAGCCCACTCCCTTAAAGCGGGAAACCGCTCGAGTGTTGAACGTAGGATATGTGTCCACGAGTTCGTGCCCATGCCTATTTTTCTGCCCGCTCTATCACTAAAGACTCATATCAAACTATGAGAGAGAAAGACGCGCGTGTCCCGCTGCGGCCGGACCGCCGTCAAAGTTTATTTCCCTGTCAGTCCCCTTCAAACAGGCTACTGCAGTGGTCCATTTAGCAGCCAACGCGCCGGTTCATTTACCCTCTCGCCTGCACACATACGCCGTCTTCACGGCGACCCAGAGAAATCTCAAAAGAGTATAGTGCCGTTGGTGTCTTAAGTGTAGTGAAAGTGCCCACGCCCCAGTGTTCACCCCTACACACAAGCACAACACGTTCCGTGTCACTCACAGAGCACACTCTCATAAAGCGCAGAAAAGCCGCTCGAGTGTTGAGTGTAAGAAATGTGTCCACAGGTTTGTGCCCACTGTCTGCCCGCTCTGTAACACGGTCAATGAAGCAGGTTATGAATGTAAGTCTCGTGCCCGCCAGAGAGCGTTCACGCTTACTAACACACACTTCTCCCCGGGCGCCGCCCGCGCGTCTAAGTGTTATCACAAGGCGCAGGGCGTTAATAAGACGCTCCCCATCCTATTCGATCGGGGCGTCAAATACACTTGTAAGTCTCGTGCCCGCGCACACGCGTTCACGCTTACAGAAAGCTTCTCCGCCCAGAGCGCTGCTCGCGCGACAAAAAGTGGAAAGAGAATGTTCCCCATCCCTTATGATTGGGACATTCCACATAAATCAGCCGGTTTCGGTTTTCAGCGAGCAGCCATTGCCCAGAACCGAGAGCGCGCGCGCCACGCTTTCGGCTCCGGTTCAGTTTTCACAAGCCCGCGGATGGCGGCGATCTGAACCTGGAGGCCATTCGCCCCCTAGCGGCTCACGTAGCTGCATGGGAAGCTATCCCAAGGGTTTCAGAATGGGTGCTGAGCACAATAAAGCATGGCTATACACTTCAATTCATTCGCCGTCCCCCGCGCTTCCGAGCCCGGACCGCGACGATAGTGAATGCGGAAGTAGCACACCTACTTCACGCAGAAATAGCAAAGCTGCTGTGCAAAGGGGCAATAGAAAGGGTACCGCCTTCTCTGAGCGAGTCAGGCTTTTACAGCCGATATTTTCTCGTACCCAAGAAGGACGGAGCCTTCAGGCCCATCCTCGATCTGAGACATTTGAACAAGGTGCTTGCGAAAAGACCGTTCAAAATGCTTACGACCAGAAAAATCCTCGCGCACGTTCGCCCGAGGGACTGGTTTATTTCTCTAGATCTGAAGGATGCCTATTTTCAGATTCAGATAATACCCCGTCACAGGCGATTTTTGAGATTCGCCTTCGACGGTCAGGTATATCAATACACCGTCCTGCCGTTCGGCCTGTCTCTAGCACCCCGTACATTTACGAAGTGCATGGACGCGGCGCTCGCCCCCCTGAGAAGTCAGGGGCTGCGAATAATGAACTACCTGGACGATTGGCTGATATTGGCACAGTCAGAGACAGAACTGATGTCTCACAGAACAGTGCTTCTCAGTCACCTGGAAAGCTTGGGTCTCACGGTCAACTGGACCAAGAGCTCATTAACGCCCAGCCAGTCAATTTCCTTTTTAGGAATAGAACTGGACTCGGTGACTATGACGGCATGTTTATCGACGCAGCGCGCGCGCCGTGTTCGACACCTAGCCGCATCTTTCCAGAAGGGCAGCTTTCTCCCTCTGAAAACATTTCAAAGGATGTTGGGCTGTATGGCGTCAGCTGCAGCGGTCCTTCAGCTGGGCCTACTGCGCATGCGCCCGCTCCAGCGCTGGTTGAATGCTCGCGCGTCTTGCCGAGCTTGGGTGTCTGGCGGCCAGAAAATCAGAGTGACTCAGACCTGCATAGCGGCTCTGCAGCCCTGGTTAGTAGCCGACTTGTACCAGCAGGGAGTGATGATGGGAACCATCTCTTACCGAAAAGTCACAGACCGGCCTTCGGCCAGTGGTCAGATCAAGAGAAGTGTTTCCACATAAACTGTCTGGAGATGTTAGCGGTCGAGAACGCACTGAAGTGCTTCCTCCCGTTCATACAGGACCAACATGTTCTTGTCCGCTCGGACAACATGTCTGTGGTATCCTATGTCAACCGTCAGGGCGGTGTCAGATCCAGGAATCTCTGCAATCTGGCGGAACGCCTCCTTATGTGGTCTCAGATGCACCTGCGTTCGCTGAGGGCGACGCACGTGCCTGGCCATTTGAACGACGGCCCAGACAAACTGTCCAGGGACAATGTTCCCCCAGGGGAATGGTCCCTGCACCCACAAACGGTCCAGAAACTGTGGCGCCTATTCGGCAGAGCGGAGGTCGACCTATTTCCGTCAAAAGACAACGCTCAATGTCCGATATTCTTTACGAAAGACGAGGACGCGCTGGCCCAGGTTTGGCCCAGCCTCCCGCTTTATGCTTTCCCTCCGG